GCACGGGGGGGAGGGGGTGGGCTGCCACGGGCAGGGGGTCACCCTGGGGCATGGGCTGCCCTGCGTGTGTGACACATGTGTGTCCCCTGTGTGTGGGTGTGACACATGTGTCCCCTCTGTGTGGGTGCATGGCGCGTGTCACCCCGCCTGGCAGACCTGTGATGGGCATGTGTCCCTGCGGGCAGCTGCCGCCGCAGGGGCGCCTGCGGGCACTGTGCTCACAGCACGTGGAGCAGCTCCAGGCCTTCCGCCGCCTGCACCCCGGGGTGCTGCACGCCGCCTTCCCCCCGCTCTACCGCGAGCTCTTCGCTTCCGAGGCCGAGACCCCCAGTGGCACCCGCTGAGCACCCACCCCGGGTGCCCGGATGCCTGGGTCCTCGCCCTGCCCTACCCCTGCCTCCTGCCTGCCGGCGGCTGGGTGCGGCAGTGGATGCCGGCACCCATGGGTGCTCCCACGGCCAGGGGGGCACCCGCAGCTGGTAGGACTCTGGCAGGTGGAGGGGCTCCAGCACCCACGGAGGAGCCAACGGCCGGAGGAGCTCCGTCACCCGGAGGGGCTTTGGCACCCAGCGATGCTCCATCACCCATAGAGGATCCATCACCCAGTGATGCTCCGTCACACGGTCATGGTCTGTCACCCGGTGGGGTTTTGTCACCTGGTGATGGTCTGTCACCCAGTGATGGTCTGTCACCCGGTGGGGTTTTGTCACCTGGTGATGGTCTGTCACCCAGTGGGGCTTTGCCACCTGGTGATGTCCCGTCACCCAAAGATGCTCCATCACCCAGTGATGCTCTGTCACCCAAAGAGGATCCATCAGCGAGTGATGCCACGTCACCCAGCAGGGTTTTGTCACCCAGCAAGGCTGTGTCACCTGGAGGGGCTCCATCACCCCAGGAGGATCTGCCGCCCGGCTGGGCTCCATCACACGGCGACACTCCATCACCCAGTGATGTCCCGTCACCCGGGGAGGCTCCGTCACCTGTGGGTGCCCTGACCGGGGCCACCCTGTTACCGGGGGTGCCCCCACCCCGCCGAGCAGTTCGGGGTTCCCGGGGCCGCGATGGGTGCTGGGCCTCCCCCGCGACGGGGGACGGGCACACGCACCCGCGGGGCTCTCCCACGGGTGCAGGCTCCCGCCTGTGCAGACACGCGTGGCCCCCCCCGCCCCGGGTGGCCCGGCGGGGTGACGGGGGAGGGGGGGGTGGGGGCGGGGGGGGCCGCGGCTGTACCGAGGTGAAATAAAGGCTTTTTGGGGGACGGCGAGTCCGTGGGCTCCGTCACGGGGGGAACGGTGGAGGGGGGGCGGGGGGACACCAGGTGGGGCGGACAGGGCGCGAGCCCCGAGACCCCGCGGGGCATTGTGGGACAGGGCAGAG